AGACGGATTTGTGGTCGGGCCCGGAGGCCCCTATAATCAAGCGGTATTTTTTGTCCGCTTCGCACCAGTACCGAATGTACGACTTCTCTGAGTAGTAGCCGACGTGCACACGGCCCCAATACTTTGCCTGCGCCGACTCGCTGCGGAAAGCCTCTGCGCTGCTGGCGGCAGCGGCCGGCTTCTTCATCGGGCCCTGCGCCGCGCTTGCCACCGACGCGGGACGCTTTCGCGGGCCCTTGTCCTCCGCCGAAGTGCTTTTTTGGGCGGATGCGTCCAGCTCGGGTGCGTCCTGCGACGCCAGAAAGTCGGACAAGTTGTCGAGGTTGACCTCGTCATCTTCCTCTGGCTCGCCGGCCTCCGTGGCTTCTTCGCGATCCAGCTCCGGCTGGCGATGCAAGAGGAAGTGGTCTCTCAGCCCTTCCAGCGCCTGCGCCTGCCCAGTCCTTAGGCCCTGCGTCGCCTGTCTGAACCTCACTGGATCGCAGAGACGCCGGGCGTGCGCGAGCGTTGTCAGGACAGTGTTGGCGCAGTCCGAGGCGTGGTCGCTCAGGGACTTGTGCGTCCCAAGGAACTCCCACACTTGTGGGTGCTGAGCGCAAAACTTGACATACACAGTGCGCAAGCACGCGAACTTCACTTTTCCGGACGGACACTGCCGCAGCACCAACTGCAGGATGGGGCAGAGCCGAGCCAGCTCCGCTCCCAAGATGGCCTTGCTCACCGGCAGGTTCAGATAGCCGCCAAACTGCAGCAGCGCAAGCGCGCCGTTCTGCAGAGCGTGCTGCGCGAAAGCTTGCAGCATGGCCACTTGGTCCAGATCTGCCTTTCTTGCGTTGCGAGGCCCGCCGCGATTGCCTGCCCGCATGGACGCCTTCATCACGGCAGAGGGGCCCGGGGTTAGAACACAGGTGCCGGGGCTTGAGCCAAATGCCACGAGCCGCCAACAACGGATGCGTTCGATTGTGCGGATGAGCTGCGGGTATCACATTCAACATATATTATACATTTAATTTATTTTTCGCAATGGGCTTCTACAATCTATAAATCGTCTAATTAAAATTGATTTCCTCCAAATGTCCGCGGCTCATCCTGGGCCAGACTCGGGAAAGCAAATTCAATCGCGGGAAAATCAAAATTCAATCGCGAGAAAAGCCAAATTCAATCGCGAAAAAAAACCCGGGCTTGTCAAATTCAATCGCGACTTGAAGAGGCTGCGGGACCAAACTCAATCGCGCAACTGATGTTGAAATTCAATCGCGGGCTCCGCCGTCAAAATTCAATCGCTCTTGAAATCCGCTTTTCGAGATTGATTTTTTTCAATCGCGGATGCTTTGGGAGCGTATTGCTACGGGATCTGGATTGCACAGGAAGGACTTCGAGGTAGTCAGTAGCGAGGTCATAGAACACTATCGCGTCTGCTTCGCCATGAAAGCCTCGATCCTTCAGTCCTCTCAACACCATCGTGTCAGCTTGGGTTAGATCCCCGAAGCTTACCACGTCATGCGCAGCAGCACCACCTTTGCGGCGAAGCTTGACATTCTCCATTTTCGCACGCTGACAGTGTGGGCAATAGGGGTTCTTCGGGCGGAGCGTCTTAGCATCTGCACGCCACTCGGCTTCTGTGCGTAGCCCGGAGAGAAAGTTTATCTCAACAATGTCGCCGTCGTCTCCCTCCCCTGGGCCAGGAACAGGAAGTGAACGGCTATCGCGCTCACCCCCCTGTCCGGCCTCTCTGGGAAGAGCAACGGTCTCGCACTTGACCTGGAACCACGTCTCACCCGTCCAAGAAAAAACAGATGCGATTGCTGATCCCTTTCGGACAACTCCCACAGACTATCAACCAACACCTCGTGGGTAACCCCATCCCGGTGAATGATTGTCTTCCTGTAATTGTTCAGTTGATCGACCCTAACAACACAATCACCATTGGTTGGCACAAACTTCGCCCTGCGCGGAAGTCGGTGCTCCCTCACAACATGGCCTGATCGCTCAGTTCGCCAGGTATCCTGAGTTCTATTCTCGCACGCCAACACAGGCCTGCATTGCGGCACCTCGATGGCTTCAAGCCCACGATATGCCACGCCAGGCGCTGGCATAGCGGGAAGTGGCTCAGCATCATCAAGAGTGGGAGAAACGAACTGAGTGTCACCATGAGGAAGGTACGGCACGCTGTTGATGACATCCAATGTCACCGTGCGACCCGAAGGACACGTGAGAGTAGGCTTACAGCCTGCAGTCCACGCAAACGAATACCCCATGTCCATACATCGTTTTCCGACGGAGATGATAGATGGAGTGGATTCAAGGACGTGCGCCTCAATCACCTCGTCCAGGTTGCCGACATCAGCATCAACACGACCAGCAGTGCGAGTCGCCCCGTTAGCAGGGTGCAGCGCGTGAGTATGTCCGCCTTTGGCAAGCAGGGCCCTATCGGGTCCTTTCAGATCACCAAGACCGACCAGGTCCATTGGGCAACCGGTATCTACCAGCCATCTCACCCCGCTGTATCCAACAGGTGCAGCAACCTTCTGAGTGTACTTAGGCTTTCGGACAACACGATGTCCCCGTACATCTCCAGGGTTGGTGTCGATGTCTTCATCATTGTCTAAGAGCACTTGGGCATGAACAGCCGCAGCTCTTATCAGAGCACTCTGAACCTCCCTAGCAATTCTCTTGCGAGATGGGAACTTGATCGCATTAGGATGGCTGTATCCAGCCTCTCTGCAGCGACTAACGACTCTGCCCGTGTTGTCACTTTCAATTGAAACAACAAACACATCAGGGAGATCAGGGATCTCCCTCCGAGGTTCCCTATCGGGACCCTTCTGAAAGTATTTGCTCCTCCAGGACAGCATAACCTCCGCATCATCGCAGTACCAAAACGTCGTCTTGATATCAGTTCGTCTTGGGAGCCTCCTGAACAAGGTCGCTCGGCGATCACCGAAGTTCACCCCGATATCCTCGATCACGGTCCCATTTGCGTCAACGGTCCTTCCATTTTGGACCTCCACCTGTGGTACCGGAGAAGAACAACGCGTTGCGCTCACTTTTCTCCCAACTGCTAACGCAAGGAGGGAGACAACCCGGTGTAGACCCACCGGTAGCTGGGGCAACAGCCCACATAACTGGACACGCCACAACAACACGGTTGGCCTCAGGGTTACCGCCCCACCTAAAAATCCGTCAATCCTTGAGCGGGGCTGTCGAGACGCCTCGCCTCCCTATCGGGAGGACTGGGCGTAGGTGACCTAGGGGCCTCCCCCTCTTCATCCTCAACAACAGGGCCGGCAGTGGTACGAGGCGTGATAGGCTTCGTACCCGGAGGCGGCTTCTGATGCAAGTACTTGCATTGCTGAGCTGTGCACTTGCCATACATCCAGTCGTAGCAGTACCCGAAGTACATATCCAATGAGGATTTTGTTGGGAAAGTCAGCTTGCTGACATTTTCCTCATCAAGTGGGGTCAGAAGCACCAGGCTCTCTGCCAAAATGGCACCCAAATATAAGATTCTTCTGTTTCTTTTGCTGACAAGGGACAATTTCAAAGAAACTGAAAGGCTATTCTGACCTTGCAAAAGGGAAACCTTTGAAAAAGGGCACCTTTGAAAAAGGGTAGTTTCACCACAAAGTGGCAAGGCAAATCTTTTGCTGGACCATCAGCAAATACTGAAAAAAACATGACTTGTATTGATTTGCAGATTGATTTTTTGATTTTGATATTGATTTTTAGATTGATTTTGCAGGTCTAAAAGTATGCATTTTTATATTGAATATGAGCTGCAAACTTTGCTTTTTTTAGATTGATTTCATTTTCTCCAAAATCATTCTGTGGAGATTGATTTTTGTATGGAATCAATCTGATAATCAAAAGATTGATTGTAATCAATATCCGATGCTCAGGGATATGGTTCCTGGTCCCCGCGGCCTGTCCCCGAGCTCATCCGAGACCTGCGATTCACCTGGAACAAGAGATCTTGGGGGTCGGGTTGGCATGGCCTCCGGGCCATGTTCATCGCCATGCTGATGAAGTCCAAATGTCCATGCCTGAAACCTGACTCAGAGCCGCTCCTATCGGGGCGAGCTCTTTGTGCTTGCTCATTATCGGTGGCCTGACAGAAAACGCGATCGTCTCCATCGTCAGTGAACCTGCCACGGCTTCTGGGTGTGTCCCTATCGGGATCTTCACCCCTGCGGTCCTGACCTGCTGAACCTACCTCAAATTCCTCGAAGTCATAATCCGGCAAGTCCTCACCTGAGCGGAGGCCCCCTAGGATGGCCTCCTCATCCACGACACTCCTGTGTGATCGTGGGGTCGACATAGAGCTTGTAGTTGATGGTCTCAAGCGCGTAGGAAAGTCCTACGGCTGATAACCTGTGATTCGGGCACGAGCCTGTGCCCAGGCAATGGGTTAGTTGGGGTAAACAAGCCACAAAAGAAAGGTTCCCCAAAAGCAAACCAATCCCCGGTCCCAAAGATCAGGGTTTCCCACACACCAGAGAACAACAACCAAAAGGAAACAAACCAAAAGAGAAAAGGGTTAACCCGCAACCTTGGTCGACAACAGGCCGCACGACTGGTCCCTACCAACCTGGCGGCGGCCCGAGGTCTCTTTCTCCCCCGAGATGCCGTCGGTCGACGCAGGGGTTCGGCGACGCCCATTCGAGGCGCGACGGAACCCGTAAACTTGAGCCAAAACACCACAGGTCGGTCACTACCGCGACGTCCCTGATGATGATATGAACCATGGCTAATCACAATATATGTATGTATATGCACACCAAAGGGAGGGGGATGGTCACAGCAAGTGCATGTTTTTACAGGCACTCTTTCGCTGGCACAGGGTTTAACATGGCAGTGGCTCCAAGACACCTGGGTAAATGGAACCGAGGACTAGTTGCTTTGATTTTTAGCCACACCCTCATCGGTTTTCCGACCGCCAAATTTGGCCATCGCCGGTGTCGGCGTCAAACCGACCCCGGGGGATTTTTCCGCCGGGGCGCGTGGGGCGGCGTCCGCCTCGCCAGCTCCTGGCAGGGGGCACTGTGAGAGGAGTTCTCGCCATGACACCCATGGGGTCCATGGGGGGGCATAGGTGTCCTTTCAGGGCAACTAATGTTGACCCCAGATTAATAAACCCCTGGTTGATTAATAGGGGGGTGTCCCCTTTTAGTGGGGGTTCATCACTTTTGGAGGGAAGACCCCCTAATAATGGGACAGGTTTGTTAATCCGGGGTCAAGATTAGATGGATTTTTCTGGTGGATGATTAAACCACCAGGTAAACCAGGAATCGCCATCTATTTTTCGAGAACCACCAAAAAGGACACCTGTGTGTGGGGGTTGATCGGAAGGTCAACCAATACATGAGATGACCATTGGTTGGAAAACCACGAAAACAAGATGATACATCAACCACGAAATGGGAAAAGAGCTACGTATACCCTTGGTCATTTCGGGGCCAGGAACGTTGATCAGCCAACATTTGGGTGGCTCGTCTTTTTTGGAGGGACCCCACAAATGGCGGTCAACGGTTTTCCGGTTGGTTTCCCCGAAAAACGCCAAAAACACCGGGGAAGCGACTCCAAACAAGACGAGCAAGCCATTTGGGCGTCTTTTTTTGCGTCACCCCTTTGGCTTTGGACAGGGACAACATGGCCATGGCTCAAAATCCAAATCGGTTAGCCCCTGGTGAGCATCAACCAATCCAACCACTAAACTAGGTAGCCTAAAATGGGTCCCCAAAAAATGGGATCCCATTGGATTGGACCACCACTGCCACATCAAAAAAAACTTTGCCATCCATCTTCGGCGGCTTCGAGGCCTCACATGTTCAACAGCATGACGTTGAGAGAATTTTCCATCCGCGTTGCGGACAAAAACAACACCGGAGCATGAGAGCATGTTAAAGGAACATGGTCGTCTAGGACCCCTTAGTCAGGTTCCATGTTGGCGGACAGGAGGACGTGTTGGAAGGATTTCCAACCACAGCTCAAACAATAGTACAAATTGCATATATCACGGTGAATGGTTAACAAAGACTAAAACCTGCGGTCTACCCCACCCATAGCCAGTATTTCAATCAGCAACATTTTGACTGCGCATGGAACAACGTAACCGCCAATTTGGAACAATGGGAACGGAATCGTTGCAATGGGGTTTCTTGAACTGGTTCTTTGCCTTTGGTCTAGTTACGCAACCCATGCCTCTCATGTCGGCCACAGTTTCCGCAACACCTTAGCTGCTGAAAACACTCCCGCGTGTTCCTGTGGGTAACTTAGTTGAACCACCTTGATCTCCGTTCCCGTAGACAACCCCTTCGGCTGAAGGAGCTGTTGGGAGTGTCCCCTGAGCTAAAGGGGAAAAACAACAATCTGGCAAGATGCCTTTTGGCGGTTTTGGCTTTCCTTTACAGCCACGAAAAAAGAAAAAAAGTGTCTCTCGGGGGGGGGGGGGGGGGAAAAATGGAGGAAAGGGGCTAGCCAGGGGGTGGCCTGTTGATGGTCCCCTGTTATGTTTTTTACATTCATCTCAAACCTATTAACCACCTTATTCGTTTTTACAAGGGGTGTTTTGAGGAGCTTATATATCGTTTTCGTTAAGGTAATCATTTGGGTAAATTCTCGCCTTGTTCATTGTTGGGCTGGGGGCCGACATTTTTTTCATTTGAAAGAGTTGGCCCTTTTAGTAGTTATCAAGTTCTGGGGTGTTGGTGGTGTATTTGTTTTATGACGCTCTTCATATTCTTTTTTCAGTTTGAGGTTATGTTGATGAAAGCTGGTTTCTTCGTGTTGCTTTCGCTTGCCTTGATGATAATGACGATTACATATATCACATTCAATCAAGGTCTGAGTATATTGTTGTTGGTATGTTTTGTAGTATTCCTTGTTTTGTTCATAATAAACCTTTGCCTTCTGTTGTATTTGTTCTTTGTGTGCTTCTCTATACCGTCGTTTGCTCTCCAAGCATACATTACATTGTTTTCTTCCTTCGTTGAACTTTTCTAACAATTGAAAGACTTTACATTTGGAACATTGCTTTTTGTCTGTCATTGGTCTCTATATGTTGAAGGGGTTATTACTTTAGATAAGTTTAAGGGGTGTTATAGGTTAAAAGTTCAGTATAATTATAACATATAAGATTTTACATGTTATTATTATATTATGATTATAATTTCAGTTCAGGATAATAATTTAATTGATTTGTCTTACTTATTTCATACATCATTTTAAAAATAATATTAATATCTCTCAATGTATTTTGAACATTAAACTGTTTACTTTCAATAAATAATTTGATATTTTCTTTAACATCTTCTCCTTTCTTTTGACTATAACCCAACATCCATAATATATCATCAATCATTTCATATTTGGTTTTACTGATTTTAAGAAACTGTTTAACATAATCGTAAGGTGGTATTTTATTTACAGTTAGTAATATTAAAATCTCATCTTCTACATTTCTATTATGTATTCTTTTTATTCCCAACAGGCATTTGATTAAAAATTGATTATCTCTCCAATTTTGCAACTTTTACATATGTCTTCTTCACCATCCATTGAATAGTTAATAATATTATTCACTATTTCATTAGGTAAATTCAATTTACACAATTCCATATTTTCTTTTTTAACGTGACAACAACCATAGCATTTTTTATTGATATAATTATTGATTTCATCACCGTTCATTTTCCTCTTAATATATAAGGTAATATTTATTTAAGTAGTTTTGGCTAGAGGGTTGCTGGTCGGCTGTTCTGGTTTTTATGTTAATCTCAAATCTGTGTTCCCCCTTATTCGTTTTGCAAAGGGTGTTTTTGGGGAGCTTATTTATCGTTTTCGTTAAGGTAATCATTTGGGTAATTGCCCCCCTTGTTCATTGTTGGGCTGGGGGCCGACATTTTCTTCATTTGAAAGAGTTAGCCCTTTTAGTAGTTATCAAGTTCTGGGGTGTTGGTGGTGTATTTGTTTTGACATGGTTTTTGTCATTGAAAGTTTGTTATAAGTTAAAACTATAGTTTAATGAAAGGTTATAAAAGTTTATACTGTTTAATCATATTAGAATTAAATCTTATGAACAAACTGAACTCAATTTCATATTAGTGGACTATAACACCCGCTGTATTTATTCCCTCTTGTTGTGGTATCGCTTCCCTCATGTTGTGGTATTGCCCCGCCTTTTTGCAATCGGCACGTTCTGTATTGCAATCGGGGACATTCCGTATTGCAGACCTGCGCGCACTTATTGCGCAATACCGCAATAAGACCTATTTAGTAGCAAATGTAATTGACCGAGGTTTGTATTGCAATCTTGGAGTTTTCGTATTGCAGAACACCCGTTTCTGTATTGCAGACCACCCGTTTCCGTATTGCAAAACAATGAATTTGACTGTTTAAAATACCGTAAAGCGTATTGCGCAATACCGCAATAAACCATGAAGACATTCATAGACGTTGTTTGGAGAGAAAACCACTGTCCTTCACATCAATCAAACTAACAAATATATCGCAAATCAAATCAGTAGGAATTTTAAAAAGGTCACCTTGTTTATGTTTAATGTATCCCTCACCCCAACAATAACACTATAACCTAAATCACGAGCGACCCGACCAACACTACCTGTCCCACTAAACATCTCTAATAATTTCATTCTTATTAGGGATATTTAGATATTAATATGTTCATTAACTGTCGATTGCTTACATTTGTTTGTCTTTTGGTGTCGTTTCAACCCATCTTTTCTCACACAACAACCGCATAAATCACAGTTGGTTTTTTCCATGGACTTTTGACTAATTTCTCGCCTTTTGTCTTCATATCGCTTTCGGCTGTTTTCTTTTAGTTGCTCCATGTTGTTTTCATAGTATCCTTTATGATATTGTTTATACCAGTCCTTATGTTTCTCCTTATATTGGTCTGTCATTTCTTTTATTCGTTCTTTATTCTTTGAGTAATACCCTTGTATTTGTAATTTTATATTGTCTTTGTTTTCTTCTATCCATTCTTTTCTCGTTCTCCCTGCTATTTGCTTGTTGAGTGTTGCCTTATACTGTCTTATCCGGTCTCCTTCTCGCTTCCGTATTTGTTCTACATTTTCACACGGATATTATTCTACTAATTCTATGTAAAACTTGTCTTCTCCTATATCAGTCATTTTCTGATAATTCTTGTAATTGCTTCGTGATGACATTTGTAATGATTGTTTATGTTTGTAAAACCTTTTTGATAATGGTTGAGTAGTGCTTCCAATGTATATGTCATCATCTTCATTATTTCTTAAGCAATAGATTTTACCATTGCAGAATTTGTTCTCATTTATTCCTTTGCCTTTCATTTACTACTCGACTAACATGACTTCTCTTTGGGACTTGTTCAAACTATAATGCCCGTATGGAAGGGAATAAAAGGCATCTTTATACCAGCGTTTATTTTCAAAATTACTCAAGCTCTGCTTAACTTGAGACACTGAGAATAATTGATGGTTGCGACTACGAATGAAATTGTATGTTATTTCATGCTTTTTGTTTTGAAATAATGCTTCTTCATAATTTTGATACGACAGTTCTTTCTTAACCTTATGTTTTACTACACCTTTTGACTTTTTATGTTCATCATCCTCACCGTGTATTGTAAAAGCATATGACTTTGGTTTGAGAGCTATGAATTTGGTAATTGTCTTTGAAGAGCATTCATCCTTAAACATTCCTAAGACCTTCTTATTCGTTTTGTCATAACATGGATGTTCTACTGGATAATCACTAAAGTCCATATATTGACTTAATTCTTCGAAGTCCTTATAAACATCATCAGTCATTGTTTGAATTATATAACTGTCAGTATCTGTATATACTAATTTGATGCTTTCGTTATACTTCTTCTTAAGGACATCATAATAAAATTGACACATATGTAATTTACTTAAATCTAAAATAGTCATTCCTAAAAAGATTGGTTTATCCAGTTTCAGTTTTGCTTTAGTCTTCTCAACTCCTACCATATTTTCATTAATAATAAATCTACTTTTGA